AGTCTTTCCCATTCTTCTTGCCCCCAAGTCTCTCCAGCCTGAGGTTCTTAGCATCTTCTATCTTCATCTAGAGCTTCGCTGGTGCAAGCCCTGAGTCCCAGGGCCTTGTGAGTCCCCCGACACTCACTGAATTCTCTTGAGCATCCTCTAATTTTTTTTTTTAATTTTTTCTTACTTTAAATCATGTGTGTCTGTTGCGTGTGGGTGTGTGCACCTGAGTGCAAGCGTTCATGGAAGATCCCTTAGACCTGGAGTTACAGAAGCCTGAGCTGACTGACATGGATGCCCGGAACTAAACTCAGGTCTTCTACAAGAGCGGTATACAATCTTTACTGCCAAGCCACCTCTCCAGCCTTCTTTTAAATTTTATTAAATTAATTAATTTTAATTAATTAATTTAATAATTAATTTAAGTTAATTAATTTTGAATCGTATTTGTACTCATTTATAGAGCACGGCGTGATCATTTGACAATGTACATAATGTGTGTAGTGATCAACTCGGCGTAATTAATATTTCTAGTTCCTCAAATATTGTCATCTCTATGTGGGCAGTTTCCTTCTAAAGATAAGGAGGCTGAGGCCCAGGGAAGGTGAGAGATGTGTCCAAATATGTATAGTCAAAAACTATAAAGCAGGGGTTTTTAAATCAGTCACGGTGGTCTGACCTCAGAGTTCCTGTGCTAAGAATTCTAAGTGATCTGCCAGACACTGCTCCTTGGGCCGCTTAAACAATCCCTGGAGGAGTTAGTGTTTTCCACAGATCTGCATCCACATTCCTGAGACTAGAAGAATGTCTAATCTCCACTTTTCTGATTTGTCTTCTAGTTTCTCTTCCTCCGACCGTCCTTCCCTTTCCTTAGCTGGTCTGCAACGCACAGGGACTTTGGAGGCAAATGTAGAATTATCAGAGCTGACCCAGAGTGTTCAGGGCTCAGCACCACCATCTTCCAGGAGGAAGAGGGAAAGAGTGCATTGGACCTCTTACTTTGGCAGCTAGGGAAGGGAGAGAACTGTGGGAAGTCGGGGCAGTCCCCAACAGAGATCTGCTAAGGTGGCCTGCCTTGTGTCCTACTGTGCTCCAAGAGACCATCAGGGGCACACAGGACGGCCAGAGAACTGGTGATGCTCTTTGCTGTACTTAACCGTTTCTGCTTGTCTTCTCCAGCAGCAGTGTCCTGGTTAAACGGATGTTCAGACCCATGGAAGATGAGTTTGGTCCAGCCCCATCCAAGCAGATTAAAGAAGAAAACATAAAGCGAGGTATCTCTCCATCCTGGCACACCACACACACAGACAGGGCTTAGGGCACAGTCTGTCCCTGTGTAAAAGCCTGGGTGGGTGGGTGTTGTCTTGTCAAGAACTCACCCCGGAG